TCAGCCAATGAATGAGTAGCGTTGAGCACTAGTGAAGAGAGGCAGGGGCCATGGGAGCGCCTGCCCTATGGATGCGGAGCTGGGAACACCCACTCGGTGACATTTTAGCAGAGAGACCTTGCTCCTCTGGGCCTTCACATGTACAACTGTAAAATGGGAACACTGATGCCTCTGCCTCCTGACAGGGAGCTGTGAGGGTCTTCTTAGAGAATGCAGTCACGGAGCTCAGGAACGTGGTGAGGAAAGCAAAGCACTTGAGCTGTTGGTCCTGGCAGCTGCTGTGGGCTGGTGGCTGACCCAGTCATCAGGCGGGGCTTCACCACCAGTACCTGTCCCTATTGGACAGTGGCAGGTCACCAGAGACAGCCAGCTAGCAGAAAGTTGAGGGGGTTTTGTTAGGTGTTTTTTGTTTTTTGTTTGTTTGTTTGTTTGGGGTTGTTTGTTTTGTTTTGTTTTTTTATAGTTGTTTTTTGGCTCACCAGAGAGAAGACAGAGGGAAAGTGAGCAATCACCCCCTGGGGGGTGACCGTGCAGTAATCCCTTCTCCTCCATTCTCCTCTCAGGATTTTGGGCACACACGCACACTCACCCAGCCTGAATTTCAAACCTCTGGGTCCAGGACTTGAACTGCAGTCAGCCATGTGGGAGTCCAGGACTTTAACCACTACACCACCTGTTAGCTACCAGAAAGTCATTTTCTTTGTTGCCATTTTTTTTTCTTTTTTTAAGAAAGATTTTTTTTTTGCTACAGGGCACATGCACTCACCAGATAGACAGAGACAGACAGAGAGACAGAAAATCGCACCCCAGGGGTGAATGCCAGGCCACAGTCCCCTCTCCTCCATTCTCCTCTCGGGATCTCGGGCACACAGGCACACACACACACATCTGGCATAAATTTCAAACCACCAGGTTCAGGACTCAAACTGCAGTCAACTACGTGGGAATCCAGCAATGTAACCATTACGCCATCTGCTGGTCCCCGTCTCTATCATTTTTAAATGAACCATTTTGAAGCATTCCATACTTTCACATCCTGTGCTGTCGCCCGTGTGCATCCATAGAACTCTTCTCATCCTGCAAAACTGTACCCTGTGCCATCAAGCACTGACCCCCCACTTCCCCTCCCCAGCCCCTGCACCCACCATCCTACTTCCTGTCTCTATGACTGACCACCCAAGGAGCCTTACATCAGAGGAATCACACAGGGTCTGTCCCTCTGCGACTGCCAGATTTCAGAGCAGCTCCAGGGCCATGAGCAAATCACGTCTTTCCCGGGGCTCTTTTCTGCCCCTCAAAAAAGGAACAATCCCGGGACCAGCAGTTAGCATAATGGCTATGCCGCTGGACTCCCATGTAGTCGATCAAGGTTCGAGTCCTGGACCCGGTGGCTTAAAACTCACGCTGGGCACGTGTGCGTGTGTGCCCAAGATCCCGAGAGGAGAATGGAAGAGAAGGGATTGTGGTGTGGCCATCCCCCCTGGGGGGTGATTTCTCACTTTCTGTCTCTCTTTCTGTCTGTCTGGCACGCACATGCGCCCTATGGCAAAAACCTCTCAAAAAAAAGAAAAGTAAAAAGGAACAATCCCAACACTTTAACCCCCGTACCGAAGTAGAACCCTAGAGATAAAAACGCTCTTGGCAACTCTATAGCAATAGCAAAACTCTGAGTTTGTCGAAATAGATATTTTTTTTAATTAAAAAGCCAAAAGAGTACAGCAACAGGGCCCCTGCTTTGTAACACACGTAGGCGGTTTCAGAGCTCAAGTTCATGGGAACAAATTGAGTTACGGAGGAGGAAGCAGTTTGGCCATTTGCAACTGTGAATTGTTTGAAATCCTTTTAGAGGAAAATTAAAATATTTCACAGAGGGTAATAAAATGCCGGTGTTTTGCAGGCATGACTGCACAGTTCTCTTGGGCAAATAAGTAATTAGGCATTTTTATTTAAGTCTCTGTGTCGTCATTTTTCTCACATTAGTAAAAAGGAAAAACTGTTGTGGAAAATACATAAAACTAGAAATCATCAGAAAGTTCATTGTGAAATTGTCATCTACATACATATAGACAGATATTTTCTTTTTTTTTTTTTTTTAGATTTTTGCTATAGGGCACGCGTGCTCACCCAGCGAGACAGAAAGTGAGAAATCAGCCCCTGGGGGGATGGCCACACCGCAATCCCTTCTCCTCCATTCTCCTCTCAGGATCTTGGGCACGCACGCACATGCACCTGGCATGAGTTTCAAGTTGCCGGGTCTGTGACTCGAACTGCAGTCAACCATGTGGGAGTCCGGCTCCTTAACCACCACACCACCTGCTGACCCCGTATACATACATTTTTAAAAATACAATATAGCATGCTGAGGAGACAAAGGGATCCTCTTAGAATCTGTTTTCCCAAATGTCAGAAATAGGAAATTTGGGGGACCAGCAGTTATTGTAATGGCTATGTCGCTGAACTCCCATGTAGTCGTCTGCAGTTCGAGTCCCACACCTGGTGGCTTAAACTCTTTAGAGCGATATGAGCGGGGCTGAGGATAAGGATCTAGAAGGTTCCTTGTGCAAAGCTGGCCTGGGACCCACTGCGGTGGGAAGAGAGAGGGAACAGGCATGTTCGTAGGTATTTCCTCCTCTTCAAGGAATTTGGTTTCTCTCTGGGTTTTTGGTTTCTCTCTGGTGGCCTCTACCACTCCCAAAGCCACCTCCACCGGACCCACTGCACATTCATGTTAAATGATACGGGCAGGTGTGTGCAGGTGTGTGGGCACAGGTGGGTACAGCTGCAGAAGGGCACTGCCCATAGCCACTGCCCCGCCCACCATCCGGTACTTCTCTCCATGGGGTCTCCCCACCTACTGCTCCGCGTGGAGCTGAGCCGCCTGCTGTGGCTCCACGCTGGCCCCGGGAACCCAGAGGGGAAGTGAAGGCTACAAGTCTGCAATGCGGTGGGGGAGACACGCAGCAAGGCAATCTTCAAAGACTGAGAGATATCTGAGCTGGTCTTAAAGGCCCAAGAAGAGTGTGCCTGGCGGGAAAGGAGGAGGGACTCAGCTGGAAGGAACAGCGGCCGCGAAGGTACAGAAGCACCCAACAGCTCACGTTCAGGCAGCCACACGAGGAAGTGGGAGGCGCTGGAGAGAGGCGGTCAGTGTTTTAAGGACAGACTCTGGGGGTGACCTGCTGGTCTCCACTCAGCCCAGCTGAGCAGAAGTGAGAGTGGATATTGGGGCAGTGAGCAGAGAGAAAGATGAGAAAGCAGCCAGGGGACGGGGTGGGTAACGACAGCTTACTCACACAGTGGACCCTCAGAGCAGGTAAACAGGAGCACACCGGGTCTGCACACGCACGTGCATCTCAGCACGGGAATAAGTGAGCAGAGCAAGTTCCAGGCTGGGTACACCTCCTGGTGTGCAGTAGTCAACAGACAGCAGCAGTACACAGACAGACAGACAGACAGACAGACAGACGTGAAGTGAAGCTGCAGGAAACAGCCGCTGTCGGATCATTGTTGACATACCGACCAACAGCTTCCACTGCTTCCAAATCGAAATCGTGAGGGAGACGCCACCCATACCATGGAGTACAACTCGACAGTCAGAAGAGACAGTCCTGGCATGGGCTGCAGCACGGCAGCCCTCTAGGGGGTCATGCTGATGGGAGTTGGGGGGGCCAGCAGCCTCCAAACGTTACGCGCTGCACGATTCCCTTATGTAACAGGCTTGGCTTAGCAAATGCATAGAGAAGCACAGACGGGTGGTTGCTGGGGCCAGCGAGGGAGCAGGAGGCAGGCGACTGCCGCTGGGAAAGGGCCCCCTTGATGACAGCCTATACCCCGACGGTGGTGGCCATCCCAGGAATCCACATGTGCAGACACACATGTATGCACACACACACACACGCGTACTTGTAAAGCTGGTGAGATCCGAGTAAGATTGGTTTGACCGTGTCGGCGTCGGTGTCCGGGTTGTGACAGTGTGCTGTGTGACGCTGGGAGAAACTGGGTGAAGGAAGGGCACAGGACATCTCTCTGTCGTTTCCTCGTACCTGTCAATCTGTGGTCATCTCCAAAGAAGGAGCTAAAATACACACACGGAGGCCCAGCCATGGTGGTGCACAGAGAACGCTACTGCTTGAAGGGCTGGAAGCCACGTGGGAGGCCAGGGTTCAGCTCCCAGGACAACCTGAGCTTGGTTATGAGCTCCTGCCATCCTACCGAATGGAGAGGCTGGGACAGGCATATTGCGGCCCAGTGACAACCTGTGAAAAATCTCCCTCTCTCTCTCTGTCTTCTCTCTCTCTCTCTCTCTTTCCCACTCACTCTCCCCACCTCCCTTCCTCTCATAAGGAAACAAAAATACACAGTAATGATGAGTGTCCAGTTTAAGGTAGAGATTGTTATGGGGCACGGTGTGCTTTATGCAGATGGGGTGTAGTGAATTCAACTTTGTGTGTCATGTTTTACTTCTTAAAAAAAAGGTGGGACCAGCAATTGGCACAATGGCTATGTCGCTGGACTCCCATGGAGTCGACTGCAGTTCAAGTCCTGGACCTTGTGCCTTAAACTCACGTGGGGTGCATGTGCGTGTGTGCGCAAGATCCTGAGAGGAGGATAGAGGAGAAGGGATCGCGGCGAGGACATCCCCCTGGGGGGTGATTTCTCGCTTTCTGTCTCTCTGTCTCTCTCTGTCTCTCCGGCAAGCACACGTGCCCTATAGCAAAAACTTCTCCAAAAATAAGATGCCCAAATTCCTTAAAGCTGGATGACTGGCACATAACTCTTTTTTAATATTCTTCACGATCTTTTTTGGTTTGGAATAAGCCATCATGTTTTGAAAACTGGCCCTGTTGAATTCCTTTCACCGCAGTCAGGACTGAGCTGGGCGGCAGGGGTCTCAGAGTGCAGGGGGCCCAGGGCTCACAGACTACCAGGCAGCAGCCCCAGACCTCAGTGGCCGTGAGCAGGGGCTCCCCTGATGCAAGCCGCTCTGCCTTTCCCCACAGCCCCCAGAGAAGGAGGGTGCCCTGCCTCGGCAGGTGGGCAACAAGACAGAGTGCGGTCTGCTGGGCTTCGTGCTGGACCTGAAGCAGGACTACGAGCCTGTGCGCAGCCAGATGCCCGAGGAGAAGCTCTACAAAGTGTACACCTTCAACTCCGTGCGCAAGTCCATGAGTACCGTCATCAAGCTGCCCGACGAGAGCTTCCGCATGTACAGCAAGGGCGCCTCTGAGATCGTGCTCAAGAAGTAAGCGGCCAGCAGGCGTCGGGGCTGGGCCTGGGCCTGGGCTGGGTCCTGGCGTGGGGAGCTGGGGGCGTGCAGCTCGTCTCCACGCTTGGCCTGGCCGGAGGGATTATCTAACAGCACAGGCACAGAGAGGGCCCCGCCCAAGGTCACACAGCCAGAGCCACTGCCGGGGCCCCTGCCTGCTACTTTTTCCACCACACATACCCTCTTAAAATTTTCTGTAGAGGGGCCAGCCGGTGGCATGGTGGTTAAGGGTGCTAAACTCCCACACGGTCGACCGCCGTTCAAGTCCTGGACCTGGCAGCTTGCTTCCTCACTTTCTCACGCTGTTCCTCTCTGGCCAAATTAAAATAAATAAGTAAAGTTAAATAAAATCTTCTTTTTTCTTTTTTTTAAATAAAGGGACCAGCAGTTGGCATAATGGCTATGTTGCTGGACTCCCATGTAGTCGACTGTGGTTCAAGTCCCAGACCCGATGGCTTAAACTCACGCCTGGCGTGTGTGCATGCATGCCCAAGATCCCAAGAAGAGAATGGAGGAGAAGGGATTATGGTGTGGCCATCCCCCCTGGGGGGTGATTTCTCACTTTCTGTCTCTCTGGCGAACGCACGCACCCTATAGCAAAAACCTCTCCAAAAAAAAATAATAATAATTTAAAAAATCTACACTATACCTTTTTTTTGTAGACTAGAGGCCCTCCCCTCCCTTCTCTCCAGGCCCTGGGTCCTCAGGACACACTTAGACACGCCATTGTCACACGTAGACCTGTCTCACTTCATCTCCCTTAGCATATGGATGGTCGATGGTAGCTCTTTTCGTCATTAGCTGGACTCCTGACTCCAAGTGCCAGAAATAAGCCCGGTGAACTAAGCAAGTCACTTCCCTTCTCTGGACCTCAGTTTCCCCACGTGTACACAGACGGGATTGGTCTAGGCCTGTAGTTCTCAGCCATGGCTACACAGTCACACCACCCCAAGGGGCATTTTCAAGCATCATTGATTCTTAGACTCCCCCGAGACGCATGGAATTGGAACCTGTGGGGCAGGACTTACCCACGGTATTCAGCTAACGCT